AGGTTTTTATTTAATAGAATTTTTGGACAAAAAAACCCCCGCAATATATCACAATATATCGCCTTGTTTACAGTATCGCAATTTATCGGGATATATCGTATCGTGACCCCTCTGTCATGATATGTATCGTATCGCCAAATTCTTGCCAAAACACAGCCCTAATCAGAAGCTAACGTTAGCTCTGAACATTGATGTAAACATACGGCAAGCCAGGAGTGACAAAACATGGCTACAGCTTCATCACACACAGGACGCCGTGGAGAAAAGTCCATCTCATGTTCTGTGGATCGATTTTCACAAATTTAAATGAAATCGATCCAGGCTCGATTAAATCTTTTTTTGTTTTTTTACCTGGCACTAACGGTTTGGGTACCCGTGGGTCTGGGATCAGGCTCTCTTAAACAGTTTCAGTTTGAGGAGTGAAGTTAGGATGGAGCAGGTGATGAGTTTGTTGTTTTGGTCCTCTGTGGTGAAGGAGCCGAACAGAAAAGGTCTTGTTTTACTGTCATGACCCAAAAGAACAAAACTGGAACGAGGTTCCTTCGTAGGGTCGCCAAGCTTTTAGACTAGAGGTGTCCAATCCTGGTCCTGGAGGACCACTTCTTCAGGTTTTACTGGTTTACTGCTCCAACACACCTGAGCCAGTGATGGGATCACCACTTCAGGGCTGGACACCTCTGTTCCAGACCTTTAAACCTCCACGAGGAGCTGCTCCTCCACATCCAGAGGATTAACTGGTTTGATCAGAACTCCAGGCAGACCCAGAACTGGCTGTGTGGGGTCATGTTTCCTGTTTGGTCTGGGACCATGTTGTCCCAGGAGGAGCTGCAGAGTGTGGCCGGGGTCAGGGAGGTCTGGACTTCCCTCCTGGAAGCTTTTTTTAAAATATCCAGAGCAGTTTTTTATAACAGCTTGACTCTGAAATGTAGAACGAGCTGCAAAAACCAAACAAAGCTTTAATTCTTCACTCCGTCTCTTTAGGGAACGATCTGTTCCTGGTGGCCGTCCACGAGCTGGGCCACGCCCTGGGCCTGGAGCACTCCAACGACCCCACGGCCATCATGGCTCCCTTCTACCAGTACATGGACACGGACAACTTCAAGCTGCCCATGGACGACCTGATGGGCATCCAGAAGATCTACGGTAAGCAGATATCAGCAGGGCGGGTGGTAAACGGACAGCACAGAGCGCTGCACACTTTAACAAATGTAATAAAGGTGACTTTTTAAAATATTTGTGTTTATATGTTTGTATTTAATCTCCTGTCACAACTTTCAAATAAAAGTCTCATTTTCTGAATGTTGAAAACAAACCTGTAGTTTCTGAAGCTGCTCCTCCTGAGGGTCTCCATCCTTCATCAACTCCTCAGAGCTTCAGAAAAAACCAGCAGGAACAACAGTTAGTTTCCATTATCCTGATTTTTACATTCTTTATGAGGCTAATAGATTTTTAAAAACTAGTTGATTACAGCTGACAACACGCCGTGTTTTCTGTTTTAAACCACTTATTTTCTCAATCGCAGCAAATCACAGATTGAGCTAAATTTGTGTGATTTCATCAGCCAGCAGCACTTTCCTCTCTGACACACGTTCTGAGCTGACAGACTGATTGTCGAGCACTTTGTCTCAAACAGCTGATGGAGCTCCAGGGCGGAAGTGTGAAATTCAATTTAACGGTAAAGGATTTATGTAAGCAGCAGCAGCAGCAGCAGCAGCAGCAGCAGCAGCAGCTGCAGCAGCAGCAGCAGCAGCAGCAGCAGCTGCAGAAGTAGCTGCATGGTTACTTTTCTTTACGTCTAAGGCGAAGTAGTCAACCAGCAGGAGGGGAGACCTGATTTTCTTATGTTAGCCGCTGTTCTGAACATTTTAGCTGCTGTTCTGAACATTTTAGCTACTGTTCTGAACATTTTAGCTACTGTTCTGATCCTTTTAGCTACTGTTCTGAACATTTTAGCTACTGTTCTGATCATTTTAGCTACTGTTCTTCACATTTTAGCTACTGTTCTGATCATTTTAGCTACTGTTCTGAACATTTTAGCTACTGTTC